GTGCTCAATATGTTGGTGCACATTTCCAATGAACACTTTTAGTTCCCGCACTCCGAGTTCGGTTTTGGCACTTAGCTTTAATTCTAGCCGCTTCCTATATTTTGTTAACCATATATTACTAAGCACACAAACAAAACGCTTGCTCGCAAGTAAAAGAGCTATTTGATCTTTTAAGGCAAGATGTTGAAAAATTTGATGTAAACAATCTTCATTCAATACGTCCATAACTATGGTAAATGAATCTGAAATTCTGTAAACAAGAAGATAAATGGATTATAAGCATCTATAGAACTTACCTGTTGATTTACCCAAGACCTATTGGCTTAATTATGTACATAAAACTAAAATCAAATTTTTAATCAAATCATCGGATAAAAGCGCAAATAGTAATGTCGGAAAAACATCGATGCATCGAAAATATCGATGTTTTGCTTCTTTGCATCGAAATTTTTCCACTCGATGTATAAATAGTCGATGTATCAATGCATCGATTCATCGATGTTTTTTCAAAACTGACACCTGTAGTTCATTGAACCGTCATTCCAGTTTTTTTAACTGTACAAAAAAGAGAAGTGACTTTGACCAAAAAATTTAAATGGCTTCATAAAGTTACGTTAGAAACATAATTAGCTCAGTTGCAGAAATGTATTTCTAACATTGTATAATTCTGCTAATAACATATTTTGTTGTGAAACATTATCTGAAAAGTCCTATTCAAAGCGATGCATCGATGTATGGCTTTCGATGCTTCAAAAAATATCGATATACATTTCGATCGCAGAAAAACATCGATGTATTTTTGCCACTGAAATTCCTATAATTGCAACTATCAGCTGTTTACTACATAGTGTTGCCAAGTATTAGGCCTATTTTAAGCCAGCGTCTCATGAACGAACAACACCTGACCACGCAAGAGCAAGAGAATGAAAAAGCTCGATTTTTTATACGGGTTCCACGTCATCTTGTTTCACAAAGCAAACCTTAACCAAACAACGAAAACCAAAATTAGCCAAATTATTACACACACAATTTACGTAAAGTCAATTTAATTCAGATCCAATTGCCATGCGAATTACGAACAAATCGGTGCGGTCTCTACTTTGTATCGGAAATTTATCGAAACTTTCTCACAAAACAAAACTTGCATTTTTTCTGAGTGCGAAAAGTTAAGTTTATCAATGTGTATATCCCTAATTTAATGTGGAGACTTATAAATTTGTAGGAAGATCCTACCTTTTGCATTTTGAATTTGCGAAGAAGAACAAAAACAAAACACAGAGACTGAGAACTGTCAAATCGAATTAAGAATGTGAGCGTGGGAATGGGGTAATTCGTGATCGGAAATGGGAGAGCGAACAAAGCAATTCAGAATGGCGTGGGAAAATGGTATAAGGCCAAGGTATAAATAATATGCGAGCTCGATAGTCTAAAAAAAATTTTAAAGCTTATTTCCTTAAGGCTCTTTCTATTTACATAAAGTTTTTTTCTTCTAGGGTTCTTAAAAATTTGGCTTAACTTATGACTCATAAGGTATATATGTGAATCAATTGGTAGCACAGCTTTATTCCACAAGCCTTGGCACCTCTGTTTTAACATCTGGTTGTCAAAATTGCAACCCTACATTATTGTTTACTGTGAATTTTATCGCATTTTTTATTTATTGGTTCGTGTT